ATCTTGAACCTGAGCCGTCGGTCCATAATCCTGCACATCTGTACTCGTATCCTCTTCGTCATCGTCGTGCTCGCCTGGCATTACCTCACTCGACACTCTAATGGATACTGTGCCATCTGGATAATGTGGAGCTACATCGATCTCCAACATCTGCGATATCTTCTTCGTCGGGTCGCTCTCCACCTGATGAGAGTTGGGAAGCTTCAATATAGAAGCTTCATCGAACGTGACGTCCCTACTCAGCACAATCTTCTTATCAACTGGATCCCATAGCTTGTATCCCTTGACACCACGCTTGAATCCTACAAATATGACCTTCCTAACTCGAGGTTCCAATTTATCTGTTCTCACATGATAAAATACAGGACACTCAAATACATTGAACTGGTCATAGTCATGTGCTGGCTTTCCCGACCACATCTCCATAGGGATCTTCCCCTCAATCGCAGATGAAGGTAGCCTGTTAATGAGGTGGCTCGCATATGATAATGCCTCAGCTCAAAAGATCTTCTCCAAACCACTTTGCGACAATAAGCATCGAACCTTCTTCAGTAAAGACCGATTCAGTCTCTCTACCACCCCATTTTGCTGCGGTATATGACTAACTGTGAAGTGCCTCTTTATATCCTCGTCTCGACATAGCTGCTGAAAAGGGTCAGAAGTATACTCATCATCGTTATCGGATCGCAACGTCTTGATCTTTCTCACAGTCTGCAGTTCCAATCTCTTCTTCCACTCCACAAACAAATCTAGGACTCGTCTTGATCTTTCTCACAGTCTGCAGTTCCAATCTCTTCTTCCACTCCACAAACAAATCTAGGACTTCGCTCTTCTTCGTCATGATGTACACCTAACATCGCCTAGAATAGTCATTTATAAAAGTGACGAACTAATATCTACCACCAAGTGATACAGTTTTGGTGGGACCCCAAACGTCTGTGTGCACATAGTCCAGGATACCCCTCGTCCTATGAATGGCAGTCCCGAACTTCACCTTCGTCTTCTTGCTAAGAACACATTGCTCACAGAACTCAATCTTCCCACTCTTGGCTCCCTTCAATAGTCCCTGCTTGCATAAAACCTGTAGTGACTTTTCACCTGTATGCCCCAACCTATAGTGCCAAAGTCTACTCATGTTCGCCTCTGAAATAGCTGAAGCTACCTGGCCAATCTCGATGCTCCCCTTTAGATAATACAAGTTTTGATTGCGGACTCCCTTCATCACCACCAGCGATCCCTTAGTAACCTTTACTACAGCGCCCTCAAAGGTCACCTTGAATCCCTTCGCCTCCAGAGCTCCAACCGAGATAAGATTTTTCTTCAGCTGAGGAACGAATCTGACCTCCTTCAACTCACGAACTACTCCATCATGCATCCGAATCCGCACGGTACCTATCCCACAAATATCATAGGATTGATCATTTCCCATGATAACAACACCCCCATCGAGCTTCTCAAAAGATGTAAACTAATCTCGTCTAGGGGTCACATGATAAGTAGCGTCAGAATCAAGCATCCAATCTGATGCATCCAAATGATTCGCCTCCGGAGTAATCAAAAGAGAAAAGCTCGAATCATCAGAATCATTGCCGCTAGCAACATTCACCTCATTGGCCTTCGGGCTTTTCTTTTTGCCATTCTCCTTCTTCTTGAGCTTCGGACAATCTCTCTTCCAATGTCTCTGTTCCTTGCAGAATGTACATTGGTTCTTAGCTAACTGATGATGGCCTCTAGACTTTGACCTCCCTCTATTACCACCTCTCGGATATGGGTTTCTACCTCTCGTCGACAAGGCCTCTCCTGAAGTATTAGCGCGGGAAGTCTCCTTGTCCTTCCTCCTCAAATCATAATTCGTCAAAGCGTTAGTAACTTCGCTATAGCTAATAGAAGATCTCACATTCAACAGAGTAAGCACGAAGATATCATACTCCTCATCCGGTAAGGAGCCTAACAAAATAATCGCCTTGTATTCATCCGATATCTTCTCATCAACATTCGTCAAATCCGACAACAACTTAGTATAGTTGTTCACATGAGCCGCTAGTGAGGTGCCTCGGGACATCTGAAATCTGAATAATCTTCGCAGCAAGTGTAAACGGTTCTCAACGCTCTTCGTCAGATACTTATTGTTGAGAATCTCCCACATCTTCATTGCAGACGTCACCCTAATCACATCATACTTCAGCTCTTGTTCCAACCATGACCTGATCACCCCACAAGCGTTCCGATTCATCTTTTCTCATACCGACTCTTCATATTTAGGTGGTTTCTCTTGGACCATGATGGTCTCCTCTAAATTCTGTGTATTAAGCGCGTCCTGTACGTCGGTCATCCACAAATCAAAGTTGATTTTGACGTCATATTTTACAACACTAATCTTAGTGTTCTGAAAACCAACTTGAACTGTATCCGACACAGTCTTGCTGCTTTCTTCAACTATTTCTACCATATTCACAAACTCCGAATTGCAAAGAAAGATCTAAACTTTGATAGAATTAAGAAGATACCCAACTGAACCCTAAACCGGATTCCAAATTGATCTCCAAACCATACAAGGAAAGCAAGATCACCACGACACTCCTCAACGCTATCTCCACTGAAACTTAGAACTCCAAGAACCAAGCTTCCAAACTGAATCTTCCTCCACCCAATGTCAAAACCCTAGATCTCAAATATGGAGCTCTGATACCAACTGTTGCGCGCCTTTGCGGAAGCGTGCTCACACACCGAACGAGTCCGTGAGCACGGGAGAAAATTAACAAACCCAACACGAGTACAATCCAACAAATAATAACAAGCAAATCACAAACACAGATATTTTACGTGGTTCGGCAATTCGCCTACGTCCACGGGAGCGACACAAATAATTTTTTATTATTCCACAAGAAATTACAAATTAAGAGAGAAGATCTCAAGCTTGAGATCTCTCAATCAAATAACAGTGTTTTAATATATAAAACACTGTTCAAACTCTCTCTTAAAAAACTCAAACTCCCCAATAAATACACCAACTCCTTTTTCACCAATTAATGAGAAGAGGACAAAAGGGGAAACCCAAATCGCAGAAAGAAACCCAAAAAAAGCCGCCGCTATTTTTTTTCTTCTGCTCCGCTCCTTGCTCGCTCGAGCTCGAAGCTGGATCATCCAGCTGGAGCCAGCTGGTTCCCATCCACGCCGCGCGAGCACCTCGAGCCCCGCGCACACGACAGGCGAGCCCGACATCGTCTCACCACATCTCGCCTGCAGCTGCTCGCCTACAGGAGCTCGAAGTCGCCTGCACCTGCTCGCCTACAGGCGAGTTCAATTTCGCCCACCTGACTTCGCCCGTACGCCAGGTGCCTGACTTCGCCCGCACACCAGGTGCGTTCTTCACAATAATCATCTGTGTGCTTTCTTTTCTGCTTCAATTTCTGAGTTTCTGTTACTTGTAAGCACTATGCCAATTTTTGCATACCAGTTCACACACCCAAGCGAACCAGTACACAAACGTAATGTGTTCCAGGATGTGCGAACCATATTATGGCGGTTTGAGGGTGTCTCCTGTGAATTTGGTAACTATGAATGTACCAATTAAGTTCCCCAAAATATTGTCTGTCTGTTGCAGATACGTGCCCATCACACTGCCTATACAAATGGTCTAATCCATATCATACATATAAACTGAATACCTAGCTATAGCTGTCAACTTCTTCATAGACTTGAAAGTTGATGTACATGCTTGATTGCATACAACGTATTGCTAATCTTTATTTCAAATAATAAACCTGTCAAAAATTCCAGCATCAAAGGTTGACATGAAGCTCAATAAGAAAATGCTGGCTGATTCTAAGAGACAAGTCCTTCTGTTTCTGGAATATTGGTTGTGAAAAGCTTGCAGTCTATGGGGTTACAAATGGAAGTTATGTAAATCAGTGTCAAGATGATACATTCTATGACTCGGTTACATCCCCTATTATTCCTCATTTAACTTCACCCACTCCATTTTCATTCTCAACCTGACATCCTTAGCAGGACTAATGCTCGTACCAGATGCAATTTAGAATAGCACTTATTAAAATTTAGTTTCTCTAACCATTACACTGGTGAAGATCGAGAATTATAGTTTTATATTAATTCTAACATGCCCCCAATAGGTTGAACATCCTTTTTATGGGCTGAAAACCTGAACTCATGCAGCGGTAAATTTTTAAAAAAATCTACATTAAATTCATGGATAGCAAGACTCGAACCTGGGTTGTTCTGATATCATCTTAAATTTTAGTTTCTCTAACCATTACACCAAAACTCTGAAGTTACGGTGATGATCGAGGATTATAGTTTTATATTAATTCTAACAACACTTTCTAGAATGTTGTTTGTATACGTTAAACAAACTACAAAGATATAAACTAGGTATTCGGAATTTAATAAAATCACTGCTCAGGGAAATGGGATCACGTGAAATGGTAATTTATCTATTCAAAAGAGCTAGAGCAATCTCGATGAGTGAAAATTCCATCGGTTTCTTATGCAGCTGAGTGTCCTGTCCACTTCAATTTACTCCGCCACATTTAAACACTGATCTACATATGAGAAAGGATCACAATCCATGACCATCATCCACTCGTTGATTTTGAACTACATATCCTAAAAACTTTTTTTCGGTATTTCAAGTCTATGGATTAAGAATACTAAAATAATCACATCTCAGAACTCTTAGAGGCATCCATTTGGAAATTGCATGATGAAGAAACTAGAAGTTTTAATGACTTGACTTTATCTACATGGGTTTAGAAATGTTTAAATCATAATTAATGGCTTGTGTCACTGACTTGGATGGTAATATCGTGTATTTCAGTAGGTGTGTAAAGGTTATATTTCACTGTATGTGTATTATAACTTTCCTACACACAAATAAACACTAACACAAATCATGCTACTGAACTGATATATTTTAATAACAGTCGGTGTACTATTTAAAAAACATATAAAGGCATAAAATGAATCAGCTATACATTTACCTGAGGAACTGCACAATCAGCATGGACTGGATCCCAAAGGACAGCACAAGAACAATCCCATTTTGGTGTTTGGACAACAAAAAGAGGAGCCCTGTAGCAGAATACAAAAAAATGTTTCTTACATTCCATCAGAATATACTGATCAATTAAGCCCTAGCAAGTTTCGTACAGATATATTAATAAGTAAGCCACCTACTGATTAATTGCATTGATCACTCCAAATCTGTATCCACACATGATTGTTGGATCACAATCCATGAGCTTAGGCTGTTCGATAAGTGGTTACCACGCATGTTGCACAACAATTTCAAAAGGTACAGGGGTTAAAACTCACAGGTATCAGTTTAAAGTTAACTATTTTCCTATTATACCTATTCAGCCTTTCTAGGGTGTCTCACAGGTATCAGTTTAAAGTTAACTATTTTCTATTATACCTATTCAGCCTTTCTAGGGTGTCTATGTTTAAGATTTCCAACTGGTATTCCCCTTTCTGAGACCTTCCCATGTGATGCGAATATGAATAGATAGGCGATTGACCCATAACCTATATGCTTATGTTTTTTGGGGGAAGTGCTTATCTAGCAAGCTGTAAAGTATATGCTTCTCCTTCTTTGGACTATGACAGTTGAAGTTTCTAAGGTTCTTGTTTGTACTCAGCTAGAGCACAATGCTCAATATCACTTATTTTGGTGCTCTTGTATGAATTTTACTTCTGCTTATCACAGCACTGTAGTCTCTATTACTTTCACCTGCATAATCCAGGATCCTGGATCATGCTTTTACAAATACCCAGCATTCTTGTTGAGATTTGTTCATGCTCAATAAGTGGCATCACAAGAAAGGAGGAGATCCTGATCGCAATTAACTTCTAGCAATCTAAGGAAATTGAACTCTTAATAACAAATTATCTTTCCAAACGACAGAAAGAACTATTAATATAGGTACTAGTATTTATTTGGTAAGCAAGAATACTGCAAACATAGACTCTATGATTGCAGCTAAGTCATGCTGTAGATCTACATTGGACTAGATGAAAACCATTAATATAGATGAAATTTAAAAAAAAGGTTTTTTCCCGTAAACCACCTTTAAAAATAGGGTGATTATACAAAGACCACCTACAAATATAGACTCCTGCCGTTAAGTCATGCTGTGCACCTACCCTTGACATATTTAGAGGAGGAAATGGCTGTATCCCTAAAATCTACATATTCAATATCTAATATTTTCTCTGTACTGTTGTAGGAATGGATTCCTGTGTCTGCAGCACTTGTATATTGAGATCTCAAGCTTATGCTGAAGATTAAAGAAACTCGCTGCAGTTCATAACTGGTGGCCAGAATTTGTAGGCATGCTGATTGGAGACACAGTAGGATTTATTCAAATATCTTCTATTCATCTTTCATGCCATTGCTCGTTTTG